TTACCGTTGCGACCCTAACGATGTTGGAGTAAAGTTCTTTTAATTCACTTACTAATGAAAAAAGCTGCTATATATATGTATGTATTATGTACATAATTATTCAGTTTGTTAAAATATTTAAAACAATCATATCTAGAAATATAATATTTAGAAGACTATCATAAAATACACGCTTAAGCAAATTCAGGCAGCCGCAAATACTAAAACGGCGAGATTGAACAAGTATTTGTACTTTAAACTAAAGATCAGCAAACATTTATAAAATGTTTAAGAATGGTTATCTCTTTGTTTTAAAACCGTTTAAAATTACTTTAATTCTCGTACGATCATAGAAGTTAAGTAACACACGGATGGATGAAACCGTTTGGAGAAACAGCCGTAAAGTCGAAAATTTCCTTCCCCGAATATACTTTTTTTTATTATTATTTTGTCATGTGTATTTAGGAATGTGTGATATTAATTAATAAAATTTATTTTAGCAATAAAATTGAATTAATTCTATATAAAAAAATATTTTACTGGGGTAAAAAAATGTTTTAAAATGATTTTATATAGTGGTTTCAATTAATCGTTATTTTTAACGTTTCCTATATGGACACTTATAACGTTACTCAATATCACTGAAAAACGTTTTTTCAATAGTTTCTCAACACTTTTGTTCTCTACTTGGAATCTGGATTTACTACTTCGGATAATATTCTAGACGCGGTTGACTTTTTACTGGTACTTGACTTTAAGATGTTCAAAACGCTTAAGGCGCTTTAGAAGTTTGAGACATTTTGCATGTTAAAGCTGCTTTCTGTGCGCTCGTAGACACACAATAGTAGATGATGCGGAGTGAAACCATTGTTGGGAAGTCGATGAGTGTTTAGCGTTAATGGTCTCCGTAAGATCGAGGCTGAATTGTGTGCCTTAAGCTCTCATAACGAGAAACGCTCCTATATTTTGTACGCAACCCCATTCAAAGATTAAAAGGAGAATTTTGACAATTGAGTTTCTAATCTTTGGTAAGATCACATGCAAAGGGATGATTGATTCATATAATGCGTGCCTGGTTACTTGGAGTAGATTCTAAGAATTTTTCAAGAAATTAATTTCAAGTTAATCACCATTGCGAACAATTGCAGTAGACTCTGCAGTTCAAATATCGATTCGCTATCTCATTATATATGCAGATTTTATCATCGCGTTAAATCACGAATTTTTTTTTTGTAAATACATCAGAGTCTGTGTGATACTTCTTGCGGTATATTGTGAGGTATTTTACCTAGTTTTATAATAGATACATTTTTTATCAAGCCTGTAGGTGTGTAGATTCAACTATCTCGTGATAAGACCAGCCGTCCGGTACTAAGGTACACTAGGCGTGACCACGAACTCTGAACTCTCTTTGAGGTTCGACGTTAACTAATTCAGCAATATAGTGTTCGAGCCTTTGATCAGTAAAGCTATTTGATCGTAAAGTGATAAGGTATCCGCCTGACTGTGTATCAGACAGCTAAATTCAATCTGTATAACAATTGTTAACTGATTATATTGAAATGTCGATTTATAATTGTATATTGAAATTATTATTATTATATAATTCCATTTATACCAAATTAATATTTTAAATTTCTAAATGCAGGTTATAAAAAATTAAGATAAGGTAAATTAACGTTATAAAAATATCTCATTCTCTATTCGATCTATTCACTAAAAAAATATATTGTTCTATCCGATTCAATGTAATCAAATAAAATTGCAAACATAAAAGATCAAGATGTATATGAGTTAATTTAATGATAACTCACACATGCATATATCTCACGCAATTCTATTGGATATGTACTGTATTCTATAGTTACACTTCTGTCGGCTATAAAGGGTGAGATTACCAAATTTGATAACAGACCCCAAAGAGAAGCTCTGAACGTCCATACATACCTTTGTTGATTATAAGCTAGTGTATATATAATATGATACAAAGAGAAGTCAGTTAGATATATGTATATAACGATGCGCAAAGCTAAATAGTTGTTGGAACAACTTGCTTGGAATATTAGTATTATATCCATTTTGGTTGATATGAAGTAAACTTATTACATCTTTTAAAATAAACTATTATTTAAAGATATAAAAATACTGTTATATATAAAAAAATATTTTTATATTGTAGTATTATTGACATAATAATATTACACGAATTTCCATTATATCATATTATATCTTGTAATATGTTATATCTAATAATTTTTTAAAATATCATATTACATATAGATTTCAATTATAACGTCTCTAAAAGCAAATCATAATTTAAAAAGTAAATATTTAACCCTTAAATGCCACTGGGGGTTCAAAAGACCACAAGACTGTTTCAATCGTATATTTATTTTATAATCCTGCTGTAAATCGAATTTCTGGCTTTATCTACCGTTAGTTTAGATCCCCAACTACCAGTTGAAAAGTTTGCGGCAAGTCGGTCTGTATATAACAGCCGAGCAGGACGACGCATTTCGAGGCGGGGTACAAAATACCTCAGTGTGTCATTTACGTTGTGGAAAGTGAAAATCGAAGCAATTTTTTATTCACGTTTTTGTGTAAATTTCATCATTTTAAATTGTAAATATTACTGTGCGCGCTACAAAATTTTCTTAGTGTTGTAATTATAACTTTTTCACGAATAATTAGATGGAGTATAATTTGTAGAGATGTACCGGATCTTAAAATTACCGGATACCGGATATCGGATATTCGGACCGAATGTAACATCAAATATCCGGTATCCGATCGAATATCCGAGAAGGCGATTTCTTCGAGTTGGATATCCATTTTCCGGATACCCGACCGGATTCGGAGAAAGTGGCTTCCAAAAAAAAAATCCTTTAGAAAAAAAGATTGTAATTTTGCAACAATGTATAACATATTGCAGCATCATAAATATGCATAGTTGTTTCTAGAACATTTGCATAAGAAAGAAAAAAATTAATAATTTAATGATATCAAATTCAACCCTATCCGGGTATCCGGTGCATTCCTAATTTGTCTTCGTACCACAAGCCGATATGCGATAAACACCGCGTTTACTTTTGCGTCGAATGTTCTGAACTAAAATAAAATTAATTAGTATGATTGGAAATAAGACCGTTTATGTTAAATACATTACTTTAAATACGAAGCAAATAAGTTTATTACAGGTTTTTAAGATTTGAGAAATTTGGAGAGATTATTAATATTTCAGATTGATTGCGTTAAAAGTCCGACAACCATATCGGCATGCAATTATCATTTCTGAAATTAATTTATTTAAATGAATATATGTATATAGTAGTTCATCTTAACATTCAGACCGTAGTGGCGCTTTGCATTAAAAATGATAGAATTAATGTTTATATGTTTTTGTACTTTTTGTAATATTTTTACTTTTGTAATTATGTGCCCAAAAATACTTTTTTCATAACTTTGTTACCAAATATTAGATCAAATAAATCGTTAATTGTGTTTTTTCTTTCTCTAAAATTTCCCTATTCATTTCGCAAAATAAATACCTTTTTTAGAATATTCCGTGTCGTACTTAATTTTATTTTAGAAAATACTATCTCAGAAGTACAATCCTAAATTTTTAACGAAAAATATTAAAAATTAAAAAAATATATACAGTTTATTTGTTTAAAAAGAGTATCCTTCATATATTTTAACTAATTTTTTAGTGTTTTTACAGTAAAATTTCACCATAACTGCAAAAAATTACATCTTCTTTTAAAAGAGTGTGTATCCAAACAAATTTTCAAAAAAAAATATTAAAAACTTTAGGAATAATATATACTTTTTCACGCTGGGGTCCAATTAACCCCGTGTGACATTTATGTGATTTTTTGACATGTAGCATTTATGGGTTAATAAATGTACAATTACTAAACGATCTAATGTTATATAAAAGTTCATACACATTTATAATAATGCAATATAAATTATTTGTATATATATATAAATTTAATTTTAAATTAACGAAATTAAAGTTTAAAAATATAAAAGATATTCTCGATTTTCAAATTTTTTTCTATTTAATTTCGTTTTTAGCCATAAAATGTTTTGTTGTGTATAAACAAAAATTAGTTCCGGAAAATAAAAGATGTTGATTTTTAATTCTATTGTGCAAAAAAAAAGATATCAAAAGATAAAAATAATTTTGACGGTGTAATGACATTTAATTTGCTACCTACAAATGATTTAAGCGTTACTCATTTCATTACTCATTGATCCTATTTACAAACATTCACCGAATATAGGTCATATCTACAATACACGAGAATGTTTTCGTATAATTTTAAAAAACAAAGAAAAACTTGAAGCAATAATTATAATTTTATTTTTAATTTGCGAGTAATATGCATTTTATACCAATTTCAGAAATTTATTTAATATTATTGGTTTTAATTATGGTTTTTAAGCGATAGAATTATATAATAATTCCTTGCTTATTCAATGAGATTTTCCGCTTGCTCTTTTCAGTTTTCGCAATTTTTTTTTATCATACTTTACTTTAAATGTAAATAGATTTATACATGGCAATTTATATACATATATTGCCTAGATTATTACGCGCATGTTTTATAAGTTTTGACGAAAATGCACCTGTATACTATTTCTTGTGCAATGTACAATATGTATATGTTTCAACTCGATAGATTATCATATATTTCAACGAACTTTGTATCAACCTTACTGACATTTGCATATGATTTATAAATAGTTACGGCGCTGGCAGTGAGTTTAAAATGGTAATACGTGTTAGCGCAGCTCAAGCCGATCGCTTAAAAGCACCCAATTAGAAACTTTCTGAGGGCTGACCTCTCAAGCGAGTCTATTAAACCAGGTCTAACTGAAGAAGTTCTTCCCATTCTCGCTAATCGAATTACATCTGTCATCGTTCCATCAACAATTTTGTCGATATCGAAGAAAGTCAATCGTTGATTACAAACTTTGATCAACGTAGTGTGTAGCAATCCGAAAACATTAATAACACATTGTACCTTTCGGCACTTTTGTAACTTTAAACAGTCAATATTTTAATGCTATAAGATGCCAGTACGTTAACAGAGCGCTTTTAATGAGTCATAATTATGTAATTTGTATACTTTTTAAGCTACTTAAAGAAGTCATCATGTGTTTTTATTTTCAAATAAATTTCGCGGGAAATATAATTTCGATTACGAAAAGATTAAAAAGAAATACAAAACTCTTGATAATAATCAATAATCAAGTAAACAAGATGTTTAAATAATGATAATTTAATTATAATTAATACATAAATGTAAATTTCGCCAACTCACAGAATCTTCTTCAGTACAATATAAATATAAATAAAAATAAAAATAAAATAAAAATATTAAATTCTACAGAGTCTAACATATCGATGTGAGGTGACAATAATTATTCTATAAAATTATATTATCATCCGTCTTCTTCAAAGATTATAAGTTGAGATAGCTTTGCCACACTATGTCCAAAGAAATACATAACAGTCAAAATATTCAAAACTAAATCCCCCAATTTAACAGTGATAATCATGTTAGTTTTTTTGTTTGTAATATGAGTCAAGATATAAAATTGTTGTAGCATAGTGTAATGCAAATTGAATCAATTAAACAATAGTATCCAGTATTAAATTAAAATCTTGTAATAACCAGCAACAGTTCGAAAGTGACTCAAATTAAAAAAAAACTTTGATATTTGGAATTACTGATTACAATTATATCTTAAAATAAAGAGATCGTGTGAATATTGATAATAGAAATGGGCTATACGGAGAATCTTTACCGAAGTTTCTCGACAGCATCTGATGGCTCCGTTTTAATGTTAGATATCTGCGCTTTAATGATCGTTACTTGAAGTAGGGGCCCACTCAATACTAAAGTTCGCCATCGCGATAAAGGAACGCTGCAAACGCGATCGAAGAGCCGAGGCGTATACATCGAGATGACAATGGCCATTGTCGCTACTGAAACTCGGAAGATTTTAGGGAATGCTTCTCCGTGATACATTTGTGCGAATTTCATTTCATCTCGGGACGTTGTTCGGACGTTGTTTTGAATGTACAAACCGGCATTAATGACGAACGAGCGAATTTTGCCTTCGAAAAGGAAATTCGAAACAGATAAAATATCAGATAAAAGTATATGGAAATTCGATACAGATATAAGTATATATTTTGCGTATACGCAATAATATTTTTAAAAACTTATTAAAATAATCGATCTTAAAAATAAGAAAATTCAATTTAAACTGGTTCCTCAGTTTTTATGTGAAAATAAATTATCTCTGAATTTTCAATCACAAAATGGAAAATGAAGGCAATCTTGGCGTAATTATTCAAAAAGATATAACGTTTTCGACACCAAAATGTATATAGAAAATATATATAAAATACATACATCATTAAGAAGAATACTCAATATAATATTAAAAATTACAATTTAAACTATTCGCTGTGTAATTGTATTATAATCGAAAAACGAATGTCAAAATTTTCTCTATGCTTATTGAGCGAAAAATCTGTAATAGTTATAGCACTTAAAGCAACTTCTTGTCTATTTAGTTCTACAAAGAAAAGCATTAGCGAGTTAAATGTATTTCTTTGGCGCAAGATGTAAGAAATCAGGAAAGCGATAATTGAACTTGGAGTTTGTCAACTTTAATCAGGATAGCTATTAAATTCCCTTTTCATTCTCAAATAAAAATTGAGATTGACGGAATTAATTACAGATGAAATTCCAATCCGTAGGAAAATCGGAAAGTAACGAGCTTCAATTTACTACGAACATCTTTTCGCATCATTATTTCAATACTACAACGTTATATCAAATAATTTATCAATTGGTATTATTGTCACAAATATTCTACTTTTCTAAGAATTTTTTATGTCTATAAGAAGATCTTTAATTATAATTCTCTTCAATTTTTCATTAAAAAAATATCAATTATCTGAACAATACCAAGAGTTTCTGTATAACTGGAATATTTTAATATGTTTAAATACTGTAGTGAATGTTCTTTGTGCAACATATTAACAAAGCATAAGCGTTGTAATGCAAAGCTTTAAAATCCTCTGCTTGACACTTGAAAGTAAGGAAGTGTCTTAAAGCAAACTAGAAGCTTCCATGTCGTACGGAGGTACCTTGCAGCTAATTGCATTTATCTTGTCATAGCGCGGGAAATTATAGCGAAGAAAATTGCAGTTCTAAGTGGATTACGCTGCTACGTCGAAGTCTGCAGCTTCAGGACATGCGACATACTTCCTTTCAACTTATTCGTAACATAATAATGAAAAAGATATGACAATTAAGATTATTATTATTACGAGTATCCTTGATAAATAATCTCTCGATTAGGCAAACGGAGTTTATATAATATTTACCAAGAAAGCTGCTGTTGAAAAGCTGTACAAAGTATTTCGATCTTAAAATAATTTTTTGAATATATCTATTTTTCTAGCAGAAAATATTGCCATTCCAACTACCAAAACTAAATTAAAATAAATATGAACGTAATTCGTTTTATCCAACTTTTGTATTTTTATTTTAAAATTTAAGAATACCGAAAATAAATATAATTGTATTAAAGTAATAAATTTGAGAAATCTTAGAATTTTTTTATGATTTGTCAAATTTATTACTTTAATACAATTATATTTATTTTCTGGATAAAATTATTTTTCTGGATAAAATTATATATAAGTTACATGCAAAGTATAAATAGTAATAATTTTTTCTATAGCAAACACTCACTTTAGTAATTCCCTCTATGAAAGCTCTGGTGGCCAGTTCACCAGGACCGTCTACAGTCTTGCCATCATCATCCGGTCCCCACGAGGCGCTATAAATATCGATGTGTTGAGGATTAAGGCTCAAAGATCTTGCTTCGACGGCATCTGTTACGTCACCATCCAGCATTCGAACACCTGTTTAAAAAAAATTATCATAAAATGTTAACCATTCACAATAAGAATTTTACTGGACCGTACATTTGAAAATTCAACAAAAAGCAATAGAAGTAATGGCTGTAACGGTTAAAGATCTTTAATGCTTGAATAATTCAATTTCAATTACTATATATACTATATAAACAAATATATATATATATATATATATATACTTGCATTAATGATTAACATTATATAGCATTATGATAGCATATTATATTCGTAAATAATGGAATTTTCGCACGTATATAAAAATATTCTATACAAATCTTTAATTCCAGCTTTCTGAGAATGTATTCATATATATACAATACATATACATACACACACATATATATATATAAGGAATTTTGAAACTGTTAAACAACATAGATTCCTCGTTTGAGTTAATTATCCTACATAATTATGATGGTACGTGGAATAGAGAATTCCAATTTACAAGGTCGAAATTGGGCACCGCGCACCGATTTGAATCAGTTCCGAATGTAATGCACGTAATAGGCTATTGCCAATCCCAATTCTAATTCGAAAATGATGCGACTTCGCGATATCAATTCTGCTTATAAACACGTGTTGTTCACAGTAACGCGAGTTTCGACACTGACTTCGCTGCTGTTAATTGGAAGCAGAACTGTAAATAGATTTAAGTGATTGCTCGGAATTAAACTGTCATTTTCGACGATTTAATATATCTTAAATATTCTACCTTCCTTTTTGTTTGTTAAAAATTTTTTATACCTTATTTTTATCTTACTCGAATTTTTGTCTCGAACTTTTGCGCAATAAGCCCTTATTAAAACAGCAATTAAAATTTAACATTATTCGCGTCCAATTCAAGATTGAGATAAAACACGGATTGAAATAAAAATTTTCATAGCTCGTCAGAAGCTCTTAAATTATGCCTATAAAAAAGTTCTGAAAAATGTACATAAAGTCTCTTTGATTCTTAAAGTGCATCGAAACATTAAATAATCCTTTTCAAAGAAAATACGTACCACCTACGCCAGCTCCAAAAGCAACACCTACAGCGCAAAGAGAATTGTTGGCAGTGGCTGCGACCTCTCCGGCACACCTGGTGCCGTGTCGATTGCTATCTACGAGATCGTACCTCGGCATGGGATCTTCATCGTGATTGTTGACGTCGTAACTAGCCTGAGGATCCTACAACAGAAACCGAGAATGGCATTAATTAAAATTCACACGTTTCATGAATCCTGTTCACCGCTTTCTCATTGCGAGGAACGAAGATTTGTATACATATACAAGTAGAATATTTACTGAATAAAAATATAACGCGTGCATACCTAGATAACCGCAGGACAAATAAGAGACACAAATTACATACGTTAAAAATTGTTATAAGCGAAATAAATTTCTGTTTTTTTTTTAATGTAGAAAAATCTTTCGAATAGATAATATTTGTAAC